CGTATTCATCACTTTTTACTATTTTTTATTTTGTACCTTCGTTTCCGAAGTATTAAATTTCAATTTAAATTTGAGTTATTAAGTATCTTTTAAAATGAGCTTCCTCTCTGTGTGGTTTACTGTGTAGACCATAGCTTAGAATTTCAAAAGATACTTGTTCTGTACTTGATGCTTCTGTGTTGGTTTATTGGATTATCCCGGTGTCTTATACTTTTTTCATGTCTTAATCTCGTTCGGCTCGTCTTTCTCTCTTTAACCACCACCAGCCACCAATTTCAACGATCCGCAATGGGCATTGAAAAGATCCTTTCTGCTCTGCCACCCAAGGTACTCCACAGTCTCTGCTAGCATCAGTCATGTTTTTTCTTTACAATTTCTAACCAGAATTACCCAAAAGTCTTTAATAAGATGTTGTGGGTTTTATATTTGGACAGAGAAGGTTTTGCTAAAAATTTGCATTAGGTAGTAGCTGTTGAGAAATTTGGAAGGTTTCAACCCAGACCACTGTGGAATCAAGAAGCTAGAAAGAAAAAACTGGATTCTGCCTACGGAATACGTATCTTCCGTGTACGCATTCCAGTAAATGACACATAAGATAAACTTAATTCCGAAAGCTCATTATGGGACGATCCGTTTATTCGAACGTGTGAAATTTAGTGTAGTGTTAAATGTGTCTATTTGCCGAGATTAGTGAATGTAGGTAATTCACAGCGAGTGCATTGTGTACGATTTTGAAACGGTTGAAAGTTTATTTCGGCCGGCAGGCGCTGGTACCGTTTCCTGCTTCCGTTGATAAAGGAGCACTTAAAACACTCGGATCGCAAGTGTAACAGCATCGGTAGCTCGTAGCCGAGTGCAGGCTCCACTTTGCGACGTAATCGATATGCCGTGGTAAACGGAGCGTGGAAAATTAGGTAACTTCGTCTTTTCAGGTGAACGCCGCGTTCAGCATCACCATCAGCATCACCACCGCCGCCACTGCGGCAACCTTTGTTAAGTTACGTCTTCGCCTTTGTCGTTAGCATCGAAGTGACTTACTTAAAAAGGGAATGGTAGAATGGGGTTGACGGAAGAAATGGGGCGGGGGCGTTGTCGTCTTAGCTGCCTGAATTGGTAAAAGCAACGGGGATTTTCGTTGTTCGTGCGTCAAGGGGCCGCCTGCCTGTCAATTTGTTGTTGATGCAAATTGATCTTCTCTCGATTATCGCCGTTCTTATCCATTTTCCATTAGGTCTTTGTTTGAGAAAATTTTCGACTTTAATAAAACATCGTTACATTTTCGGGCGCACTTCAAACCCTTAACGAACTTATCATCGTCAAGAAGGAGCGGTGCCACTGCCATCCTTTCCATTGCTGCCTTTCCGCGGCTCTTGTTTCTCTTGTAATGCGGTAAAACGGTGGCTCTACAGATTTAAACAGTGATCCCTGTAAATTGGATTTTTTATTTATTCACCTCAGACACGACTATCTTCGCATCTTTCGTATATATTTATAGAGACATAGACTTAGTGTTAAGTCTTCTTTAATAAGAAAGCGGTTAGAACTATAAAATTCACTTGAATGTCTTTAGAAGTTGCGCTGAAGAAGTTGCTTCATCTTTTGAAGTAAAATGACTGCATCCTTAACCTGTCGAATATTTGGGCATGAGATTTCAACATCATCCGACATACGAGCAAATGCCACGGTATCATATAAAGGGGAAAGTGGACAACCCACAAGCATCAGGGGGTAGACACAGAAGAGGGACGTACTTATTTTGAAGTGAAACTTCTTTACGCACGGTAGGGTAAGTTCGTTTCATGCGAGTTGCTACGTAACGAAATCATGCAACGGATGTCCCCCTGGTTCGCTTGAGCCGTGAGCGCGCTTCAATGCAACGTTCGTTACAGGCAACTCGGGCATGTATAGTGTAAAATTTAAATTCACAGTGTACAAATAATATCATTAAACCAATTCCTCAACCCCTATCCCGGTATGTTTGTGTGTTTGAAGAAGTTTCACTTCAGTAGCGTGTTGTATAATTACACGTTGTATTTATTTTTTTAATTACGTCATTTAGATAGTTTTCAAAACTACAGAAATGTAGATTTACGGCGTACTTACCTATTTCCCGAAGGACGGACATGTATGCTGGAACAAAAGAAATAAAAAAGGGAAAATAATTCATTCGTGATATAAGAAATTGAGAACAAACCAACTTCAACAAGGGATTTTCCAATTATCAAATCTCCTGCTCTTGGAAAAGCTAATTTCTCTTATATGTGAGTTGTAAACATCTGGATGATCGCGGTCTCGCCAGTATTTTTTAACTAAACGTTCAGGGTAGATTTATATTAATATAAAAACGTTTCATCGTTGCTGCTGCATTGGTACGTAAAACCAAAGGTCTTGGCATCGATTCCCGACGAGGGTACAACAGGAGCAATAATTTTCCCTCAATAATTTGGGATAATTTGTAGCTACCTATACCTACCTTTACGTGTAAAATCTTGCAAAATAGACGTGTAACTGCGATGATGGGGATGGTTAGAGGGTTTTAAAAAAATTAAAGCCTATTATACCTCCCAATGAAATTTATTTAACACAGCGCTTTAGATCTATACAAAACAACAACCTTAAGGAGATATTATCTTACGTATACATATAAAAATTTACATACATTCAAATATTTAGCCTACAAGCTAACTCTTGAGGAGCAAAACGCACAGGATTACAAGAAATTCTTGAGGAAAAGCGGAGAATTTACTGCTCTTGTTACGAAGACCTGAAAAACAAACAGACGGAAATAAGGACATTCGAAATTTGAGATTAACAAATAATCTTGTAAAGTTTCTGATTATATATTTAATTAAAGACTTAAAGATACTTCATTAATTTTTATTTGCGAGTAGTTAAAATAAAAAGAATCAGTTGAATTTATTAAATTATTTTCAAATTACGACATCATTATTATTTATGGGGCTAGATCAGTTGAAAATATTATTTCTAAATTGTTTAATATTTCGTTTCAAATTATTTGTCGAATTTTATTGCTACAAATTACATAAAAGCGATATTTATAGTTAATATATACTATTAAAGTAGGTGCTTCATGAAAAATATTGGATTTTAAGCTCTTTTGTACTGTATGTTACTAATAAAAAGCAAATGTCAGTTAGGTAAATTTTTGTTTCTGCAGTGGTTAATTGGTGATATTAAATAAAACGTTTGATTGCACGTTGAATTATTATGGGTTTTTGAACAAATAAACGAATACGGTTTTAGTCACTATTTTTTTTTTTTTAATTTATAAATCGTAGATATATTTTGACAACAGAAAGGGTAATCTTTGGTATTTCAAAAATTTTGCCGCTCCTCAAATTATACCGCTCTAGGTCCGGACCTATCCGGATCCATCACTGACACTCCTCCTCTTATAAAAAAATTACATTTATCTCTTCAACAGTCTTTCACTATCTGTTTGACGTTATAATAAATTAATAATTAATGCATCTTTACTTTTGTTGTCCGGTATACCCATTTAATTTATAAGCAACTCCGTTTGGTGTTATAAGATAAACGATTTAGTTCCACAATAAACTGCTACTGCTTTGTTCCTCTTTAAGTGCGATAATCCCGAAACAAATACACTTAAATTGTTGCATGTGCTTATACACACACGCACACACACAGACGTACATGAATATCTGTACGAATGTAGAGGTAGATAATATATGTTCATATACACAAATTCATATTGGATGCCTTTCAGTCCTCATTCGACCAAGTTCATCATCAAAGTTCACAAACATCAGTGAAGTGATAATAAGCCGGATAATAATGTTGCTTCATATTCGGAGATATTTATTCTCGAACTCGAACGTGAAATTTCATGTAACGAAAGATAATATTGTTTTCAAAAGCGACTTAATTGATGCTGTATACAGGTACATGCAGGAAGCGGATTAGGCAGACGAAGACTATTGAAATTTAATTAATAAGTCAAAGGAAGCGAAACTTCTGTTTGTGAGATGGAACTTTATAGTTAGTATTTCAGCAGGTTACTAGTTTATAATTGAATTTCAGAAGAGGAGCTAGCATTTTTCTTGTGAATTTACAGGCGAGGCGGAATTCTCATTTAAAGAGATGAATTTTTGAAAATATTCTTATCTGTTTGACGCAATGTAATGTCCGCGTAACTAACTATATATTTATTTTAACACTGTCTCTTTGTTTGGGTTTCAATTTTATTTCATTTGCATCAAAAGTTGCGAATATTTGAAATTTTGGACAAACTATAAAATTCGTAAATAACGTGCTTCGAAATTTGAAAATTGTAGGTACCTATCATACGATGCAAATCTTTAATCGCTTTTCGACATGAAGTTAATTGATTGTTTAGTATTCTTTGGGCAATTTACGTATTAAGCAATCGCTTAAGATTAAGATTAAAATAAGTTTCTTAGGCAATGATGTGTCACTTGTTCTTTTGTCCCCTTTGGAAGAAGGTCCTTGTGATAAAGTGGAATCGATTAATGTAAGGTATTGCGAACGTTTCTATTTGTACGAGTGGTAAATCCGTTGAGAGCAATTCTAATTCGTTACGGAATAGAATTTATCGACAAGAGTATCTAGTGTTTGCTTACGGGGATTATTTCCTGTGTGACTTTGGGACGAGGTGGGCTCCATGAAGGGCGCAAGTTGGGGTGTATCGCCTTGAACAAAAGCGTCGGCAGTTCTTTTCCACAAAGAAAATACGTTCCCTTCGCATCTGATGGCAATGTTGTTTTTATTACCGAAGTGAGTTTTGTCGACCGTGATTTCCAATTTCGACTTTGCCGAATGAAGACCAAGTGCCGAGTCCGTTTCAATCCTTGTCGGATAAAGTCTTACATTTCTAGTTTGATGATTAACCTAGAAAGAAGGAGAGATACTGTTAGTAGTCTTAAAGTTTAAAAATTTTAGATGGTACATATGCAATTTGATCAGAACGCTTTAGGCTTTTCTCCATAGACAGAACCAGTGGAATTTACAATGGTCAAAAATTAATCGATTTGTGTTGGGTTGTTTGGAAAGTCATTTCGTTTTTTCCCGACAGAGGATTTAATTGTATTCTTTTGCACCTAACTTCACATTTAAGCCGTATAATTTTTATATGCTTTGGGAGCTCATATAGCAAGGCTTGTGTGTGAAAAATTTCAATTAATTCTACGCAGTAGTTTTTGGTTGGTGCCCTTTTAAATATGGAGAGCGATAAGCAGCATTTTCGACATATCTTACTGTTTTACTACAGAAAGGGTAAAAATGCTGTTCAAGCCAGAAAGAAATTGACTGATGTGTATGGAGAAGGTGTGTTGACAGTACGCCAGTGCCAGAACTGGTTCGCTAAATTTCGATCCGGCAATTTTGATGTCGAAGATGCACCACGTTCGGGAAGGCCGGTTGAAGCTGATAAAGACGCGATAAAGGCATTAGTTGATGTGAACCGGCGAATAACAACACGTGAGATCGGATTGAGGTTAAATTTATCAAATTCAACAGTTTATGACCACTTGAAAGGCCTGGGATTATCCTCGAAGCTCGATGTATGGGTTCCCCATGTTCTCACAGAGAGAAATCTGTGTCGCCGCATTGACGTCTGCGATTCGCTTCTCAAACGTCACGAAAATGATCCGTTTTTGAAGCGCATCATCACTGGGGACGAAAAATGGGTTGTATACAACAACGTCAAACGCAAGAGGTCATGGAGCAAAAAAGATGAACCGGCTCAAACCATTTCCAAAGCCGATATTCACCAAAAAAAGGTGATGCTGTCTGTTTGGTGGGATTTTAAAGGAATCGTTTTTTTTGAGCTTTTACCGGATAACACAACGATTAATTCGGAAGTCTACTGTCATCAGCTGGACAAACTGAATGATGCACTTCAACAGAAAAGGTCAGAACTAATCAACAGGAAAGGTGTAGTGTTTCACCAAGACAACGCGAGACCTCACACAAGTTTGGTCACTCGCCAAAAGCTTTTACAGCTTGAATGGGATACAATGCTACACCCACCATATTCTCCAGACCTGGCACCATCGGATTATTATTTGTTCCGGTCACTCCAAAATTTTTTAGACGGTAAAACCTTCACCTCAAATGAGGAGGTCAAAAACCTCCTCTATCAGTTTTTTGCCAGCAAAGACCAAAAATTTTATGAGCGTGGAATTATGCTACTACCAGAAAGATGGCAAAAGGTGTTGGACCAGAAAGGTCAATATATAATTTAATAAAGTATTTGTTTATTATACTCAAACTGTCTTTCATTTCCACAAAGAAAAACGAAATGACTTTCCGAACAACCCTATAATATAACCATTTGAAAATTGATTAAAAGTTAGACAATTTGATGTCAACACCCTTCAAACAAATTTCTGAAACTAATCAAGTGTTTTTATAAAGTTATCTGCATGGATTTGCCACTAATTGTGCAAACCATTGAACATTAACTTATTGTTCTGTTAACAGAAACTGAAAGCAACTTTTAGATATTTTCTTGGACTAAGTCTTTGGAATTTATAAACGGATTGTTGGTTTCAGTTTTTTACTGTTTTAAGTACGTATTAACAGCAGCTGTTGCAGCGTGATGTATTGGATCGCCCGAGGAATTTTTTCCGATTTTTGTCAACGCTCGTCGGAGTAAAGTGGTGTTGAAGTGGGATTTTACGCCAAAGAATCGGCTTGAAGCTCATTCTTAGCGACCCTTTGAAATTCGCATCATGTTGTCGTGTCACTGGTGGCGAAACGTCAACGTATACCACGATACAAACGGCTATGTGTACGTAACTGTATCGTGTGCATACATATATTGCAATAAATGTATGTGTGGGTGGTGTGTTTATATTGAAATAGGATCGGTGCGAGCGGTTGAACGAGCAAGCTTTTCAGAGTCGACAGTCGACCAACCGCAATCGATTCTGTTTTCAATTTTCACTTGCTTCGCCGAATGGGTTGGTTGTTGGGAATTGAACATCCAAACCATATACATATAAATACGTCGTGTCGTTCGCGACAAGGGGGTCTGCGCAACAATATCTGTAAAGTAGTCGAGGCAAATGTTTACACACAATGCTGTATTGCATAAATTGGATAACATCAATTCGGCACTCGTTTGGAATCGATAAGCAGCCTCCACATTTTATGTATCTGCACGAGTTCTGAAGATACTTGTAGACATAACATACATACATACATACTTACATTACATTTTTGTAAACCAAAATTGGAAAGCGGCCAAGTGAAAGAGAAATCGTTTATCGTCTGACGAACTTGATCTCTCTTTCTCCGTATTCTCGATATACTAGTGCAAAAATACGGTGTTTAGATCAGATAAAAAGCGATATTAAAAAAAGCAATCAATACCATTGACAATTTAACAACCGAAGAACCTTCTGATATATCGTAAACCTGTACAAAAGAAATGTTTTTATAATGAGAATTTACTCCACACATCTGAGTTGAACATGTTTGCCTCCAAATATTCTTCGAATGGGGTAAGCATACTGCAATTAATGGGGCAGATTCGGCTAGAGGCAGATTGATGGAACATGAAACTTAAGTAGTAAGATGTGGTACCGTATTTGTCCAGTATGTAGTATTATCAAAAGTTAATCTTTTCATTACTCGACATAATTCTTAAGTCAAGCCAAGTATTTTCCAAAGCTCGGTAGAGCTTTTATATGTCGTAACGAAATTTTACAGTTCCCGCTGTCTTTGGAACCGAGATGTTCTTTAAAGTGATAATCTAAAGGCACTTGACCGCATCAGGATGGTATGACTTTTGGTGAAACTTTTTTCTTTTGAATTCCTTAAACTGTTTAGTGAAGGCGGGCTTGTGTGTGTTGTCATATGTTAGAAAAATCAGACGATAGTATAACATGGTAGGGTAGTTATATCTCAAACAAACATAAAAATTCGCTTCATTATGACCCTATTGGGAGTTGATGTGTCTCATAAAGACGATTCTTATAAGACATATGGTCTTCACATCTCCTTTATAGAACTCTCATCATCATTAGGTCGTCAGTACTAAAACTGGTTGGACGCTCACCACCACTCTTTCCTATCCTGACCTAATCTTCGCATTTCCCTAAAACTAGAACAACCCACACCCTTAACTATTTGCGAACAGTAATCTAATCTAGGTCTACCTCTACCCCTCCTAACTCCCGTTTCTGCTTCTAATATGTCTGACTAGATCGTCATGCCTGAGAAGGTGTCCTACCAACCTATCTCGCCTATTTTTTATTGACTTCCATAGAGTCCTCTGTTCTCCTATTCTTTCCAATACCTCTTCATTTCTAACCTT